GCTGTTACCACCGACATCTGCTCTTTAAAGACATTGAGCTGTTCCAGTAGAGGGCGCATGACCTCAGCCATCGCCTTGGTCGTCTCACTGGTGGTTTCCGGTCTCGGGGACTCTGGTTTAGTTTTTAAAAATTTCTCTGTCTCTGTCCCTCTTCCCCGCCATCTTTTCCCTGTTTGTTTACTTTCACGAAAACTTTTTAAAGTCTCTGAATATGCGCTTAACTGTATAGCTCGATTGGGTGAGTACTTCTGGGCAATCACACATTTATTCTTCCGCTCCCCCCTCCCTTTCGCTCAGTGATTTACGCATGGGAGGTGTCTGTCCCCCGCTTGCTTCTGCCGTTCCGCTGCATCGGGTAGGGAGCGTCTTTTCTTTTAAAAATCTTATCTCAGTTGACTCACGTTCATAGTTCGTCTTCCGACCCCTACATTCATCATTTCTGACGCCCGATCTCCTACGCTTGACCCGGTTAGCTTCACTTGTACCATTTGGTCTCTCGGCTGGACGAACCACTGGAGCAAGGGGGAGCCTCGATTCTCTGGCATTCAGCCATCGAAGAGGCTACCCCCTCAAAGCTCCTTGGCCAGGGACCCTTTGCCGGGCCCCTGGGGGGGGTTAACGAGCCTGCTCACCCCTCCCTCCACCAGAGCACGGAGACACCCCGGGAGGTCCAGGAGGTGAGTCCATGAGCGTGCCGCCATCAACCGGAAGTCCTCAAAAGTTCACTGAATTTTCCCATGAGCAAAGATGTACAATGGAACAGCCCAAAGAAAAACCAATTTGGGTATATAGATTGGCAGAACGTGTGTAATTATATCCTTTTACCACCTTCGGCTGACTTGGCAGTTAGTCCCTTTCCTTGACCGTGATGACCTGGCCACAGTGATCCACGCGACAGTCACCTCAAGGTTAGACTACTGTAACACTCTCTACATGGGGCTGCCTTTGTCGCAAATCCGGAAGCTGCAGCTAGTGCAGAATGCAGCAGCAAGGCTGTTGATGGGCCTCTCTAGGCCGGAACACATCCAGCCTGTGCTGAAAGCACTGCACTGGCTGCCAATTGTTGAGAAATGGACTAATTTATGGTTCTATATCGGCTTACACACGCAACACATGGACTGTGCACACACCTGTATACCATAGGCCTAGAGGAAGCTGTTTGTATCACCTACTGTGAGAGATTTCACATAGGGAACACTTGTCTGCATTTCATGTTAATGTAGCTTGCACACATTCAGCTCAAAGCCTTATGGGAAGGAGAAGCACATGTTAGCCATTGTGGGCAGAGGCAACAACCAAGAAGAAGAAATTCCCCCATTGCTGAGGAGACTAGATGTCACGCAGAACATGGACCTGATCTGCATCTGAATTGCCATTTCCTGTTGATGGTGCCTTGTCTTCCTGGTAAAGAAAAGATCCATCTACACATCAAGGAAGGCACAGGAAGCTGAGACTTCACACCTGGCCAGATGGTGTTCCATGAGATAAGAGTGTAGAGTTTCAAATATTGCCCAACCCATAGAATACCTGCCCCTTTCTACATGCACCAATGAGGGAGGTCATGGGATGGACTTGTAAGTAGGTGGGATTACAGTTTGGCAAGGTGCCACCTACCTGGAGATTCAACTATAAAAGTAAAGACCAAACTTTAGGTCTTTGCTAGCCACATCCCTTCTCAACGTCCTCTGTCTTCTTTTCTACCCCTAAAGTCCAGCTCTCTAGCAAACAACCCTTTGGACCATCCTAGATCTCTTGGACTGCAGTCAAAGAGATCCATACTTTGCTGGCTGGTTCTAGCAAGTGTGATTTAGTTAACACCCCTAGGTACTACTTTCTTCCCCTAGCTTACATTGCATCAGACAAGACTTCAGGAACAGGCAAGTATAAACCGATACCTACCTACCTCCAAGTAAATGAGAAACTATCTTGATATCTTTCTGTAACTCTAAAGGAACCTTGATTGTATGCGAATGAGAGACTGATTTTGTGTGTATGTGATTTCGATATTGCTCAGTAAAAAGACAATTTGTTTTGGAAAAACACCAGTCTCGTCTCCATCACTGGTACTCTCTGGGGCTGGCAGAACCTCCGTAAACTTTGGCAAGGACTCACGTTAAATTTAGTTAGCAATCTGCTGTAAATAAAGCGATTGGCGTAACACAATGGCGTACCAGATCCGCTTTGAAGTGCTGGTTCTTACCTTTAAAGCCCTATATGGCCAGGGTCCGGCTTACCTAAGGGACCGCCTTTCCCTGCACGTTCCCCCAAGGGCACTACAGTCAGGGAGTCAAAATCTCCTGGTAACCTCAGGCCCCAGGAATATCAAATTTGCTGTCACCAAGGCCAGGCCGTTTTCGGTGGCAGCTCCTACCTGGTGGAACAAGCTCCCAGAGGATATCCGGGCCCTGCGGGACCTTGCGCAGTTCCACAGAGCCTGCAAGACGGAGCTCTTCCACCAGGCTTTTGAGTAGGAGCCGCCGCCACCACTATTCCATCATCGCTACCCCCCATTATCGCACCTCGACCACCAATTGTGCGGATATTAAATGGGGTGCGAGACGTCCCTGGATGAAGATGGGATGGTTGTGCCGCTAGGAGGTATGCTGTTGGCCTGGAATTAATAACTTTTACCAGACCCCCATCTTGTACCTACTGATTCAGTGACATCTAGAGCACCGACACTTTAGTGTTTTGTATTGTATAATTTTATTCTGTTTTAACTTTGGCACTTGTGTCTCTTTGTTAGCTGTCTTGAGCCTTCAGGAAGGGCGGGATATAAATCTAATAAATAAATAAATGGGTAATCAGGTGTGTAGACTTCTCCACTTTATGAAATATTCCATCTGTGATTGCCATGTATCTAGTGAACAACTCTGAAGGTCAGGGTCTTAGAAATAACATGTAAACAGAGATAGTGTGAGGTAAAACTTGACCAGTGAGGTCTCTACCCCAACCCTCCACCTGACAGATTTAACCTTCTGAATAAAAAGTTCAGCACCCATGAGGGAAACAGAAAAAAAAACAGTGGCTTTGATTTACTTCCAAAGATGGGGGAATAAGGTGGTTCAGAAGAGATGATAGAAACTATTTACAGGTATAACACAATTGATAATTTAGGAAAGTACATAACAGTTGCCAGTCAAATTTGTATTCTTGAGGTGAATACTAGCCTTTCCTCAACCTCACGATTCTCACAGTGTAAAATGTGAGCTCATAAACCATGAATGTTTCAATGGTTTGCCTCAGAAATTGGGGCAGTCACTTCCTCAAGCTTACCTACTTTATCACAAAAGACAGGTTCTGAGACTTCCAATGTCTCCTGAGATAGTTTCTCTCCCAACTAAAACTCTGGAGATGCAAACCCTATCTCCACATTTTCACTAGTTTAGCCTGCTTATATACCAGGCAAACTGTGAGACAGGATCCCTCCAGTCTCTCTTTCTCTGAAGGTTCAGACCTATCTGACTGAACTGACAGAGTAACAGCTTTTTCTCTATTGCTCCCTCCTCCCATCTGGCTCCTCTAGCCCTTCCAAGGATCCTGATTGGCTGCTAGCTGCTCTGCTCTCACACCAAAAAGCACATGAAGGGGAGTGGTGTCTTTCAAAAAGGATCTTTGCCTATCCGTCATAACAACCTACAACATTAAACCATTTCCATTCAAGATCTGAGATGCATTGTGGGCGGTTGGGATACATGGGCTGCAGGAAGGCAGACCTCTTTCCTCCCAGCTGCACTTCCATTACTGGATTTATAGGCTTTGCAAGCACTTCAACTGTAAACTGCGGCTGCTGGGAAAACTTGATTGCCAACCCACTCTACTAAAAGGCATATATAATCTTGTTTAACCGCTGCCATAAACACTTACTGGACAGCTCCTGTGGCAGCTGCTGATATGAGACACATTTCTCCTCCCACCTATGCCTGCGGGGGATGGAGACTCTAAAGATTAAGCCCTTCCCCACCCCAGCACAAAAGTAAAGCACCCATTTGAAAGGAGAAAAGATGAAACCTCCCTCGTTATCAAAGCAATCCCCTGACAATGTTCAGTATTTAAAAGAAAAAATTCTATTTGAAAAGTATATTGCTACCATTTGAATCATTGTATTTAAAACATCTTTTTTTTAAAAAATAGAAACAGGCAAACATAGTAAAGTTTTCCCTAAAATTTCTACAGTTAAAATACTATTTCTGATAGCACAGAGCTTTTGGGGAACCCTAATCAAATCCTAAACAAAATATTATTTTAAAGGAGTATAATTCATAAATGGGTAAAAAAAGAAGAAGAGCCAGTATATATACAAGGCCTACATTTTTGTAACATGCTATCCTATGGTTAGAGTAAAATCAAATTAGAACAGTGTATTCTTGGAATAATTTGTGACCTAATCTGGCCAAGAACAGACTCCATCAATTCTTTATTAAAGAAAAACAGGTTGTGAACTAGGTTTTCATATTAACTCAAGGTATTACTTAACTTTGAAGCAGAACCAGTTCTCTGTAATTGGAGACTCATCACATGTGTTACAAACAGGACTGAACCAAATTGGCAACATTTTGTGAGGCCCTTTCCAAACTGTCTTTGTATTCCATGTTAGTAACTGGTTCCTAATAGATTTCTTCTGTCATTTCAGACAGACACATTTTAGTAATGGGCTGCTAGCAGAATTTATTTACCTGTTCATACAAACCCGCTTGCGTTGGGTTAGCAAAGTGTGGTTGAGCCGCTTTTGAGGAAAACTGCTTTTTTCCGTTTTCAACCCCTTTCGTTGCACTTCTGAATCACTGTAGTGTGCTGTTTAAAATGTCCATAGCGCTCCCTGCAATGCCACATTTTTCTCACCCTATTTCACCATGCAGTCTTTCTCACTTTCTTTTTTTTAATGTTCTAAGTTAAGCGCTATAGTGTTAAACTAATATAGCACTTCAGTTATAGCATTACCATTGAGATGCCTTGACTCCACTGACTCAATGACGTCAAGGCAAGTGCTATATTGATACAGTGAGATCGCGGCTCACAGATAAGCACAGAAGACTAGCCTCACAGATAAGCACACAAACTACTTGCCAACTTCAACCCACAAAGAGAAGTAGTTTGCCTCCCTGAGATATATATCTGCAATCCACTTAGCAACAAGTCACTCACTAGCCAATCGTGTCTGGGCATGGATGGGCTGCATGGATGGGTGAACATCAGGATGTTTGCTACAGACACCTTCTTAGGTTAGCAACGTCTGTCACACCAGTCTCTGATGCCCTGAACACGCGCTGCCCAATGAGTTACTTCTCTCCTCTTGTTTCCAGGTAACAACAGCCGCGATCTCACTGTATCAATATAGCACTTAAGATGCCTTGACTTCATTGAGTTAATGGAGTCAAGGCATCCCAATGGTGCCACTATAGCACTAACATGCTATATTGGTTTAGCACTATAGCACTCAACTTAGAACGTTCAAAAGAAAGTCCGAGGAAGATAGCGTGGCAAAAAAGATGGGGAGAAAGCACCACTGTTTAAAATTACCATAGCACTTCAAAGACTGCTCATTAACGGAAGGAAATTCGCTGTACGAAACCTCCATCCCTGTACTGCTTTATTCGAAATCGGGCCAACAACAAATAACATCCAGTTTAGAACGGTAATGTAAGAAGGGTCAGAATCTGTTTCAGGCCACCACCAAATAAAATAAATCATGGGCTGCAACAGAGTTCAGTTAGGCTCCAAACAAAATGACAATACGATTTTGCTTAAGGCAATTTAATATTTAATTCATGTATAAGCCTGCTTTAGACCAAAGGAAGTTTCCCTGCTGTGTATACAGTTTACCTTTCTGGAAGCTGAAATGAAGCCTAAAGTTATTGATATATGGTTGGAACACTTATGTGTTCCAAAGTCATATTTTGTAGACTGCCGAAATCTGTGTTGTCTAATTCACCACCTGAACTACAACAAAGTAAACTCTTATGCTTTTCAGACTGCCAACACTTGAAATTAAAAGAATTTCAGAACACTGTGAGGCAGTAGGCTGTCAATTTATCAATTTATTTCCAGGTAGAAGCAAACACTTAAAAAAAAAAGGAGTAAAGGGATGAACATCCTGTCAGTTGAGCTCAGTCAGCTTGATACGCTGTGCAAAATAGCATTATTATGCCATTTATGGGATCTGTAACACAAATGCTTCTGTGGCAGATGTTCAACTCAACTCTACATCAGAAGAAGAGTGTGTGCTCTCTAAATAACTATACATTAAGCACAAGAAATATGAAAAGCACCAACAGTTCAGACTGGTTCTCTCAACTATATAATTAATACTTGCGGGTATATAAGATGCCAGCAGTTATTATTCATATAAAAACTTTACCACTGGCAAAATAAGAGGCACACTGGTTCCTAATAATATCTCACCTTCATGTTCAGCTTGCTTAATACTTTTGCTCTAGAGAAAATTCCAAATGGGATTTTATTGATGCGGTTGTGCTCCATGTTGAGAGCATAGATGGTAGAAAATTGGGAAGGACCACCAACTGGATATGATTGGAAACAGTTTCTTGCCAGAGTCAGACTAGTCAGATTGACAAGACTGGATAAGAGACCCTGAGGAAGAGAGAAGTAATTGCATATGTTTAAACACAGATTCACATGAAGTCGTATCCTAAAACATTTTGATATTCATTCTTTTAATTCTTGCATGAAACCCAAATTTAAATAGCCTGCTCGGAACCTTAGAATGCCAAAGTATAGGTACTTTTTTGTTTCTCATTAGCTGTGTTCAAAAATGCTTCTACCTTCTTACACATCATCAGCCAAACCCAAAATGCCAGAGGAACACCCATATGAGCAAAGGATTCCACATTTACTTCAATACTGAAGGAGTTTCAAGGACAGGGTTGGCCCAGACAGCAATGCTGTTTTAAAAAAGCATTTGCTTGCAGTGCATTTATATATGCATTGCTGCAAATGCAGATTAATGTGTGTTGAAAAAGACAAGCATATAATTTTAAAACATACTTATTACTTCAGGAACTCATTTCCCCAAGGTAATGGGTGGAAACACTGAGCAACAAGAAAGCCCAGAGGTAGCTCTGCATAGTGAGGTAATGTCTGGATAGCTCAGCCAATTACAATACTCTGTTGCATTGTTACAAGCTCAGCCAATGGGAAGGGAGGAGTGCTGTAATGCATGTTATAGTAGGCTTTTAGAGACTATGTTCATGTTCACCTTACTGCCTATTATTGCATTTTCACAGCAGAACACATTTCAATGTTTATCTGCTTTTCAGTGCATTTAAAATGAACGCCAGTAGCTCTATCTATGACTATGATCTCACTTAATAGCCAGTTTGTTCTTCACAGAAATAATTATAATCAGCAACTGTACTCTAAAACTGGAGGACTTCAAAGTAGGACAAAGCAGTTTTCATTAATCTAACCAATTAGATCAATTTAAACACTTCTGATCAACTTAAAAAGGTCAACCCAATTCATAATGCAATTTAAAAAATATATGTATTTTTAGTATCAGAACTTTCAAAAACTAGGCAGGAACTATCTCAGAAGAAACATGTTATCATTTTCGCTCTCAGGTTCTAATCATTCATCACAATGTTGCACAAACATTAGTTAATACACTAGACATAACAGATCACAGTTTGTTTGTAAGCCTCTGTTTAATTTCTTGTCTCCAACTGGATGCTATCCTGAGCTCCCTTGTACTACCCGGCTGCTGGTTAAGCCTATTATTTGGCTGCAACAAAGGAGCTGGGAAGACTAATCACAGCCAAGACTCCCTGTGAAACCTTAGGTCACTTTAAGCCTTCCTCCTTCACCATCTACTTAGCCACTGCATCACTGTCCTAAACATTTTACTATGATATAAAATAGATCTTTTACAGTACTTCCTCTCATTATCTAAATGCTGCATTATCTAAATACAAGGAAAGTCCATGTTTTACTCTACTAGCTTTGCCACTAGTAGAAGAGGGAGCAAGGGACCCCTTTGGGCCACCCAGAAGGCTCAAGTGGAGATCATGTGAGCCATATGGACAAAAGCAATGAGGCTAGGGCTGCGATAAAGAATGAACGAGTAAGACTGAGTTTAAAGGCTGGTAAGATATATGTTGTCAGTCTTTAAGGTGCCACTGGACGTTCATTTTGTTTTGGTAGGATACAACTCAAAAGGGTTTCTGGGGTTGGGGGGGGTGTCTCAGAAGCACTGTTTTATACATATGTAGGTTTAATTATCCAACTTAAATTCAAAAAATTAATTGACTAAGTGATAGCTTGAATTCAGGTAAGGCAGCAGCCTCCAGTTAAAGTACATTGGACATTAATAGGTTTTTAACACTCATCTGCAAATTTAAGATTACTGTTTGTAATTCTATGGTCAACACATCCAACTACCGTCAGAGGCATTTCTATCAATATTTAATTGAATCAAAACAGTGGCTTGCATCCAATAATGCAGCTCAAACCACTTGTTTAAGCTTTCTTAAAAGGAAGTAGCCGTTTCCACCAATTCCCCTGCTACTGCAGTACACACTGAGCCCCCTAACATTGAGGTCAGGAGGCACTGAAGAAACACCATGGGAGGTAAAGTGGGGGTCTACAGTGGTTGATGGGAGTTGGCAGAAATCACCACCTCGTCTTATGGAAACTTAAGTGCTCTAAAGTCTTTGGAACCGCATGGCTGGATACAGGACATTGCCTTTATGAGATAAAAAACTAACACTCATATATAAACTTCTTGTCCGTGTGATGGCATAGCTGAAGTACTTTTATCCACAACTGTCCTTGGAGTAAAACAGGGAAGCATTTTCTTTTCATTTCAGTCTACACAATAGAACTGTAAAAGATGCAGAAATGCT